AAGGCTACAAGTGCCTTGCAGCAGATGGGCGCCTCTATATTACCAAAGATGTTGTCTTTAATGAAACTAGGCTTCCCTACAAGGATCTCTTCTCTCCATCAACTATCAATTCTCCCCAAGAAACTATCCAAGTTCCTTTTATTGTAACTAACACTCATACTTCTACACCCTACACTTCATCAACCTCCTCAAATGAACATTGTTCAATTCCCACCTATACCTCACACATCAGCAACCTCACTAAACATTCCTCCTGAATCACCTAACTCACAAGACATTACAACTTATATGTCTCCTTCCAATTTATCCATCCCTACATCATCTATCCTAGAATCCAATAATTCTCCAATCATTAATCCTCATAATGTTCATCCTATGATAACAAGAGCAAAATATGGAATAATCAAATCACATTTACAACCAACCCTTTTGCTGACCTATGTTGAACCCAAAACAACTAAACAGGCCTTACCCAATTCTACTTGGTTTACTGCAATGCAGACAGAATACAATGCCTTACTTCACAATGGCACATGGTCCCTTGTTAATCTACCACAAAATAGGACTACAATAGGATTTAAATGGGTCTTTCGTGTTAAGGAAAACCCTGATGGCATTGTCCAAAAATACAAAGCCCGCCTCGTTGCTAAGGGGTTTCATCAACAATTTGGATATGATAATAATGAAACTTCCGTGTTAAGGAAAACCCTGAGGCACTATCGAAAAATACAAAGCTTGCCTTAACCCATCATTGACCTATTCAACAACTAGATGTCAATAATGTCTTTCTAAATGGCACTATTGAAGAGGAAGTGTATATGACTCAACCTCAAGGATTTGAATCTACTGACAAGAGTAAAGCAATCTATGGGCTCAAACAAACAACACCCGGTGCTTGGTTTGAGAAATTAAAATCAACTCTACTGTAATTTAACTTTCAAGTAACCAAGTGTGACCCGTCATTGTTAGGTTACTCCAATGCCAATAATGTCATCTACATCCTGGTATATGTAGATGACATTATCATTACAAGCAATAATTCAACCATTCTTCATAGTTTAATCTCTCAACTTAATTCTGCCTTTTCATTCAAAGATCTTGGTAACCTTGATTACTTCCTTGGTATTGAAGTGACTGATGGCTCACTTATCTTAACTCAAAGCAAATATATTAGGGATCTCTTAAATTGCACTGATATGGAAGGTTCAAAATTCATTTCTTCTCCAATGGTTAATGGCTGCAAATTATCCAAAATTGGATCTGAATGTTTTTCGGATGCGTCTCTCTATAGGTCAATGGTTGGGTTGGGGCATTACAATATGCCACCATCACTAGACCCGAAATCAGCTTATTGTCCATGAATGAACAACATTACATAGCAACCTATATATTTTATAGTTGATGTTCTGTAGCAGTCTTTCTATTTTCCCAATCACCAGTATACTATCCAGTAACCAATCTCTTTTTGGACTAGTAAGCAGCCCTTTTGATGTGTGTGAGCATTGTACAAGAGAGCAGTTCTCTAACTGACTCTCAGGTAGTTGCTTAGGTGGCTGGCTAGTATTCTGTTGAGTCAGCTACAAACTGTACCTAGCCTTCCTTACTCTAGCTCTATAAATAGCAACCTGTAACTCATTGTAATAACTTTCATTTTCCTCAATAATAATAACAGAAACTGTCTCTCTGATCTTCTTACAAGATTATTGCGTTGACCTTGTCAAAGAACCCCTTAACTAACCTTATGATCATTTTTGAGTTGACAGTTTAGATGACAACTTCCTCAGAACACTGGTTAAAATATATGTTCAAGTATCCATTACATTTAATATCTCCAAGAGACATTGAGAGTGGATTCAAAGTAGGTGATTTATATGAAAAATATGGAAGATATGTTTACTTCAATAGTAAATGAATGTCTTACCAATAAAAAAAAACATCTGATAAAAAAAATGATTGTTTTGGCACTGTTCTCAATGCCTTTTGTTAATACACTATATTATTTACACCTACAATACTTTTTGGATGTTGATTTAGATAATGGAGTGTATACGAGATAATTAATCTGTTTTTTTTTTATTTTTAATTTCAGCTAGTTGATGCCTTGGAGCTTAGCAGACTGACCATGAATACTGTAAAACAAAATCTTTGGTGGGCTTTCATTTACAACATTGTAAGTTCTTCTGCTGTCCAACTATAGAAATTAATCAGCATGTTTGTGGTGGTTATATAACTAAGAATTTTGTACGATTCATTGGCATACTTTCCACTCTTCATTTTGATAGAAGTAGATTTTTTTTTTTTCTCATGGAAATTGTTCATAGCTTTTTCTTTTACGATGATCAGTAAAAGAACCTCTCAGAAAAATGTTGAGCTATTCATGAATTATTCGAACTTGACTCATTAAATGCTCAATCAAACTCATTGTTTTAATAAACAAAAAGGTCAAACTTGACTTTAGGCTCAATTACATATTTATAAGTCAAGTTCAAGCTTAGCTTTATTGGCTTGACAATAAAAAATTCTGAATAACTCGTGTGTGCATATATATGATTAAATAAAAATTGTTGATTCTTTATAACAAGAAATATACTTGTTAAATTATAATTTTATCTTGAAATTTTCTCATTGCATCATTTTTATGTTCAAATATTCTCTTTTTCTTCTCACTTTTATGTCATCCTAACATTGAAAATATCTATTAAAATACTTGATTAATAAACTTAAGAAACACTTCATAAATATATTTGATAAATAAAATAATCAAGCTATAAGATTACAAAGTGACGGGAAAAATAATGATGGCACTTCAGTGGTTATAATGGAGAGAACCATAGGAAGTTATTTGTGACAACAAAGTATCAACCAAACTCAAAGGAAAAATCAACTATAAATGTTGGGCTTTTAAGGGCAAGAGAAAAAAGGTGGGATAATAAAAATGAGTATGTGAAGATGGATGTTATGACTATACAAAAAAGGAGAGGCTATGAAATGATTATATTCGGGATATATTGGTGTGCCACTTATCGAGGGGAAATTAAGAGAAAATTGATTAAGGTGATTTGGACATGTGAAAAGAAGGCCATAGAAGGTAGCAGTGAAGAGTATATTGCATGGTTTTTAGCCTTGTCAAAAGGGTTAGTAGAGAGACAAGAACATTGGACGAAATTATTAAAAGGAATCTAATGATGAATAATATCACTTAAAATTTTGGTTTTTAATCAAAGTTTAGTAACATCGTGTGTGATCCATGGAGCCAACTTTACATAGTAGGATAAGGTGGTGGTGGTGGTGGTGGTTGTTGTACTAATGAGTCAGATAAGTCAAACTCAAACATCATATTTTTCTAATTCAAGATTTCAATCTAGCTCATTTAAATAAATAAGTCAAGCTCTCATTTTTTTTTTCAAACCAAGCTTGAACTCTTGGCTTGGCTTGTATACATTCTTAAATAAAGCATTCCATATCAAAATGCAGAGTATAATCAATGTCTGAATTAATTTCATTGGATCATACCATCCCTAGCTACTAACATCAAATATCACCATATTACTGCCAACATAAATGTTATGCTACTTGTGCTACTGGTCTCTGTCAGTCATCTCCTTTGCCTGCTTGCTACTGTTCTTTGCACATTTTCTCGTGTGCATGTGCCTAAATAACTGCATAAGCATGTCGCTTTTCTAGTTGACATCTCAGGTAGAATAGATTATGTTATGTTCTTTTATCTAATCTGATGAATAACAAGGTTTCGGTATGAGGGGGCAAAAAACGACTCCAAGGTATATAAAAAGTTGCTATGTTGGGGGGAATGCAAAATCAGCTTTTTTCAATTATTTTATATTGGACTTGGTGTTATTTTTGTCAAATCTATTGACATTTTTTGTTCTGTTTTATGGATCTTGAATCTTCTTCTACATCAGATACTAGAAGTCAATTAAACATTTCCGACATCAGTTAGACGTAACTAATCAGCTAAACTAATCCATACATGATTTCCCTCTTGTTTACTTCTGTTGGCTTTCCCTTGCCAACATGGTGCTGGTTTGGTAGGGAACTTGAGTTACGACTGGTGCAATAGATCATATCTCTTACAAATTCAACTGAGTTTAGGACTGATTGTTTTTTTTTGTTGTTTCAATGATTCCGTTCTTATTTATGATTTTGGAGTATTTGAAAATATAAAGTTTTATTTTGTTATTCAACTGTCGTGGTGTAATTATACCTCTATCTTTATACAGGTAGGAATTCCAATTGCAGCTGGAGTGTTATTTCCCATAAATGGGACGGTGCTGACTCCATCAATTGCAGGGGCTCTCATGGGGCTGAGTTCCGTTGGCGTAATGACTAACTCGTTACTTTTGAGATTCAAATTTTCCTCAAAGCAGAAACAAATACATAGCAAATTGCCAAAGATCAAAATCCATGGGGGTTCTGATCTGGCGCAACAAAACCAGAAAACAAACCACCCTTATTAGATGTCAGATGTACACAGTAACACAACGAAAAGGAGGTTCCCCTTTTGATGTAGAGCACGACAGAAGTATACACTTCTAACCTTAGATCTTGTGGTGATCACCCAAGGATGAAAAGAAATCAGTAGAGACGAGAATTCGGATGTATAAAGTGAAATAATCACACCATCAATGAGACGGGACACTAATCAAGCAGTTGAGGTGACGTGAAAGAATAATTAGATAAATCATGTTGCTGGGGGAAACTTCTATTGATTAGCAAAGGTCTCTCTTTGGGGGAGCTCCCTAGCTGTCTTCTTTCTTTAATATTAAGCTTTTATCTATAGCAGCTTTCCACTTATGGCAGGTACATTTTTTTCCTTTTTTATAATTTAGATCTGAAGTCTTGGTTCACGTCTACAATATCAAATTCCAAGACTTTAGGTTGAGATAAAATCTGTTTATATTTCTGTATTTACAATATTTCTAAGTCTACTCAAATGCTTCCATAAAACACATCGAATTTCAAATAAAACTTTAGTTGTGTGAAGAGTGGAGGTGAGGGGATAACGTCATGTTAATACTTTCAGACTTCCTTCCTGAGAGTTTTGGTTCCTCCTATCTTTCTATTTCCATCTAATAACAAGTGTCCTGAAAGGTTTTCAGATAAACTTTGTAATCATAATGTATCAAAAGCAAAAGGAAACTTAACAATGAAATCGTCAAAGAGGAAGTGTAATTTCTTTCAAGGTTTGATCGCTAAAGTGCGTCGTAAAAGATGAGATTGGACAAACACTTTGGGAAACTAAAGAAATGTGACTTTAATATAAAACTCGGTGTTCATCAAGTTGAAGTGGAATTCGATACATCCACAATGTGTACATAACAATCTACAACACCTTTTTTTAATGACAAATCTACATATATGTTGTTTGCTCAAAGTTATGCCAATTCCTTATATCTACAATGCAAGCACACAACCATAAGGAACCTTGAAACAATTTCCAGATTGTGCTGGTATGATATTCAGCAATTTGATGACCCAAAAGAAGTGATGATCAAGCAAAAGAGCATTGCAAAATTGGGCCTATCACCAACTCATCGCTACCAAACTATAAATCGAAATTACTCGTCAATTGTTTGGGTTGGAAAATTGATGGTCAAACCATGTAGGTCATGCCAACCTGCATCATATGTGAATGGGGTACACTTAAATTTGAGATCCCCCTTCTGCAGTTCTTTCTCAGAAAAGAATAAAAATAGTTTATAATTAGCTTCTTGATAAACCATGAGTCTTTTCTTGCCCTTATATCCCCGTGACCAAGAAGATAAACAACTCCAGATTCTTTTGCCGTGCGAATAAATGATAATTCTCTTTCAAGACTCTGCTCAGCATCAACCGCCGGGGCCTTGGGAGATGCAGGGCATGCTTCCTCAGATGTGCTTGCCTCAAATTTGGGTACAGTTGTATCATTAAACTCAGCCAGAAGAGGAACCCCAAGTGAATAAACACTCCCATTGGGACCTATGAGAACCCTGGAACCAGAGTACTCATCCTCAGAATCAGTATCATCATCCCCATCACTCTCGAGTGACCTCTCCTGAGCCTCACGTCGTATAAACTTCTCTAGGCTCTCCATCAGCAGTTGCTCAAAAGTTTGGTGATTTTCTTTACGAACATCTTTGTAACCATACCTGTTGAGATATAAAAGCTCTGGTCAGGCTTATAAGATTCACAAAAAACACCTTTAATTTACATGTTGGTATATATTTTTTGGGAAAATTACAAAAGGGATATCTTAGTAAAAAAATACTCCAGTTTATGACTACGTCGAAAGAGTGGCTAAGGGATATCTTTTACCGACAATCAAGTCTTTGCAACTTTACCGTGTATTATTTGACTAAATTATTCCCCTGATAGATTTTCATGTAAAGTTATAGCAAGTTTCGATAGTAAAATGTATGCCTTCCTTTTCACCATCCATTCAGCTTTTCCAAATTCACACCACTGATCTAATAATAAAGGTGCACAAAGCGCAAATATCCCAAAATGCAAAATATTTAGGTTGTTACCTGGCAATGCAACGAAATATATGATAGCTTCTCTGGCAAACTCGCCGAAAAAGGAATCTTTCACTTTGAGGCACCATGGGAACTGGAACATACTTAATACTCACAAATATGATCATAGAGTGTATTGCTGGAAGTGTGGTTAGAAAATGCCCGAAAATGCCTGGAATTCCTTTGACCAACTCATTATAGAGCAAACCAATCCCAGGAGCTCGTATTGTCCCAAGATTGCAGCCTAATTCTCGCATTAAATCCATTGACAGTTTTTGCTTTACTTCAGTTTCATACTTGAGCTTGCTCCCGTAATTCCATACGAACATTATAAAAAACATTATTACAGCGAAGACCAATATAATCCAACTTCCATCTGTTACACTCCACAACACTGATGAAAAGAAAGTCAACTCCAATCCCAGGAAGACAACTGCGAAACTCAGCACTACAATGATGTGTATCTGCCATATAAGAAGCATAACAAGAGTTACTAGAACAGTGGTCATCATCATCACCCCCAGCTCAGCAATGCCTGAAAGACAACAAAGGAACAAGCTGAAAACAAATACATTTTTTTAAATTGTTTTATAATATAGTACAATAATAATAAAGGACCAAATAAAGATTAACTCCCTCCCATTTATGCTGGCAGATTCAAACTATTATTTATGTTATTCATTTCACAAATTTAAGTTTAAAGGGGAAAGCTTTTCCTGAAGTAAACTGCATGTTTCCAACAAGGGTTGGTTCAACCACTTGAATCAAACAGCATCAACAGAAAGCTTTAGGATTTTGATTCCTATCACTGAGTAAGCCGTTGCAGAAGCTTGTGAGCTTGTGACATGGGGTAATCTGCCTACTACCAACAATTACATACCCAAAAAATGGAGAAATGTTTGATTTGATCACATCCATTTGAAATAAAATGAAAGCTTCCAATGCCACCTCTTAAAAGTATTGTGGATGCAAGCAAAAAAAAAAGAATATATATAATATATATAGATAGATAGATAGATAGATATACACACAGACTACAGAATGTCATTTTTCTGAAAATAGAGTTGGTGTTTGAAAAACTGAACAATGATGATTTTCAGTTTTCAATACACTTCTAAAGTTTCTTAAAGAAAATTGGGTCCTCTTAAACAAGGCTCCACCTCCATTATTACTATTCTTCAACTATAGTCGAAATTATGAGAGAAGCTCCATGTCTTTCCAAAGTATCAATAAGCTTCTCAAGCAACCTATCATATATAGTTGATCCCAATGAAAATGTGACATAATTTACAACTTGACATGCGATATGTGTATATGGCTGATAAATATGACAAAACTGAATAGATAAAAATAGAGAAATTGAAACAAAATCATTACCATATGCATTTCCAATCTCATCAATGCTGGATATAGAGCAGACAAACACCAAAGAAACAGCCAAGAGAAACCAGTTTATGACAGGGATATAGATCTGGCCCATAAATTTGCGAGAGGTATGAATTATTTTAAGGCGAGGGAAACAGCCAAGTGCAGCTGACTGTTTTATACACGAAAATGTGGCTGTTGTCATAGCCCGACTTGCAATTAATGCAGCAATGTTAGCGATGAGGAAAGTTGGCCAAAATGCACCACCTGCAGACACAAAATAGTATTACATGAAGATTCTGTTGAGTGCAAAGACATGTGACTGAAAACAATGATAAACATGAATGCAGAAACTAAATATACCAATACTTACTTGGAACCGAAGAATAAAAGGCATTGCCAGCGTCTGCATGGTTTTCCATAAGGTATGCAGCTTGACCCAAATAGCCCAACAATAGGCACGGTAAAACAAGAAATACAAATGTAAGCTACACAACAAACCACCATCATTTTCATCAATATATTAGCTGATAAGATCCAGAAAGTAAGATAGAAACAGGATCTTTGATAGTCATAACATAGACATCATTCATTACCTGAACTGATCGTACAGAGAAATAGCAAAGATCTGCAAACATAGCCTCAGAGCCTGTAACATGATCCAGTAACAATGTTAATCAACAGTTGAGATTTTTTTGTACATGCAAGTAACATCTAAATGCAAATTGCATATTCCCCACATTGCAGTATATCAGAGACATTTTATTACGTGCACTGTTCACCTCATTCCAGGTTGACTAAGCAAGAATTCCATACTAATTAAGTGTGAAAGAAAGAAAAATAAAAGAAAGAAATAAAGAATCCACTTTCACAATTTAGAATTACATAGATAGGCATTTTGATTGAGCCAATCACAAGTGAAGTTTCATTTCACCCAAAATAAACAAAGTCAGCATGTTTCGTTCAATACAATTTTTCCACTATCCAAAAAGGGGCAATAACCTCGCATCAATGCATCCTGATATGTGCCAGTACCAAGCACTGAAATACCCAATATAAGTCCCCGCCTAGAAAACTGATTTCATCTTTATTTTTTTCCATCAATCCAAACATAGTTTTAGGGAACATAGTTCTAATGAGTTGCAATATATAGATTTGTTTACTATAATGTGTCTCAATTACCACACATCTAACCCTTTATTTGTAATGAATAAGGAAATAAAAATAATAGGTAATAGTGAGTAGAATCCCTCCTTTTAGCTATACAAGTTTCTCTAATTACAGAACATATATGTTATTATGTCATATGAGCCGAGCTTGTTAAAATGTCATCAACCCAAGAGCCCTTGACTGATTTATTAAACATATTTGTCAATTGGTCACTAGATCTGACGGAGTCCAAGACCCTAATCTTAGAGGAAGATACAATGAAGCAAAAAAGGAAGATCGGTTCTTAGAAAAGAAATATCAAAGGCGAGAGAAAACCATGTTGATCCCACAATAAATTGAATTGTCTGAATCAAAGGTAAATGTCCCTTAGGATGATAACGATACTGAAAAAGTTATAGACAATGTGCCTATTGCCTTGAGGAAAAAGAAGGGATTGTGTTATGTATCCCATTTCTCAATTTGATTGTATTGACCATCTCTTTGTCCAACATCAAAGTTTTTATTGCAACTATTGATGCAACCAAAACACTTGCATTAGTTCAAGAAGCTCTAAAAGATAGAAATTGGGTTCAACCCATGAATGAAGAGATAAAAACATTAGAGAGAAAGTCAACTTTGAAGATTGTTGATAAACACAAAGACAAGAAAGTTGCAAGGTAAATGAATATACATTATGAAGCGCAAATTTGATGGAACATTGGATTGCTAAAAGACAAGATTGGTGGCAAAGGGATGCACACAGAGCTATGGCAT